CGTTGAAATAATGTTTGTTTACGTTTTTACTTCCATTTCTGCACGCACATAAATTTTATATCGGAATTGTGAAAAGGTGTATTCTAATTTTTTGTTTAATAAATATTCTTAGTTTGTATGTGTAATTATTTCAAAATTTTCTTGTAGGTTTAATATGTATTTTTATGGAAATATTATATCCAGGTGTTGTTTTAAGGATGGACCAATTCAATATAAAATCATCAATCATTTTATCTTTTGATTCCCATATGTGTTTTGACAGTACTGTGTCTTATGAATACTTTTTATTTTTAAAGCGTTGTTTATGGTTGGCAAAACATTTTTTTCATTCACCCTCTGTTAAGCTAATATAAAGGATTATCTTTTTCTGGATAGTTCTGGAATTCGGAATATTTAACTCAAATTTTAGTTTTTCCAAAATATTTTTCATACATACATAGTTTATATTTAGTACATATTTGTTTTTTAAGCTTTTTCACTCATCACTCACACAAAAATTAAAAAAAAAATTCTTTCCATATTTTTTGTACAACTGTAGCTAACTTTAATTGTATTTCGATTAAAATTTTTATGTAATCTATTAAAGGGTGGGAAGTGTTTATTGACCAATTTTTAAAGCACTTTTCCTATGTTAGTGGAAACATTTTTGCTATAAGGAAGGTTGAACCAAATTACATTTCAAATATAGAGCATATTTTTTCTAAAACCAAAAACAAACACAGATGACATATAAAATAATAACCAAGAAGTTATAATTACGGATTTATAACAAAAATTACTCCACCTTTTATACCTGATTTGGAAAATTTTCAAAATGACCTATTACACTTAATTATAACAGTAAAGTAATGCCTAAAAGTTTAAATAAAAAAAAGTTTAAAACTTTAATACTTTGGTTTTCACTGATAAAACAAATAGCTATTAAAAATTTTATGTGACAATATTACTAATTCTTATGAAAAAGCCCCTAAAAATTTGGAAAATGCAATTAATTTAGAAGCCTGCCCTGCCCAAGCTTTTGTAACACTTTAAAATCATAAACTAAATTTTCAAAACAAACTTTCTTGTAGGTTCCCTCAAAAAAGTGAGATGGACATAATTAAGTAAAATTAAATTGGACAAAAGTGAAGATGTCAAAAAATAACAAAAAAATTAGTTCTACAATTGAAAATAAAATAATAAAACATTGTAGAAAAACCTTACTTTATTATAATAAGGAAACTTTGAAAAAGAAGAACAAACATGACTGCTTTGATGTAACAATGGGCAGTTACGATAACGCAGAAATTTGTGAATTTGTTGGACTATATATTTTAGATTTGTTAAGTAAAATAATCAATATTAATGATTTGGGCCTTTATTGTAATGACAACTTAATAGTTTTGCGTCAAAAATCTGGTCTACATCTTCATAATATTAGAAAATATATTATAAAATTTATTGGCTTTCAAATCAAAATAATTATAAATTAAAATATTGTAAATTTTCTTGATGTCACATTTAACCTCTCTGAAAATTTATATAAGCCATAAAAAAAAACCAAATGATGAATTATTGTATACTTATATTAATTTAAATCATCCACCCCAAATTCTAAAACAAATCTTGATTTCAATTAATAATAGGCTGAACCAAAACTCCTCTGATGAAAATGTATTGAATTCCTCTAAACAAATTTTCAAAGATCCCTATAAAAAAAAGTAGATTTCAAAATTTTGAACTAAAATTTGACCCTGGAAAAAAGAGTACAAAAAAACGGAATAAAACTAGAAATGTAATTTGGTTCAATCTCCCATATAGCAAAAATGTTTCTACTAACATATGAAAAGTGTTTTTAAAATTGGTCAACAAATACTTACTGCCATTTAATAGATTACATAAATTTTTTAATTGAAATACAGTTAAAGTTAGCTACAGGTGCACAAAAAGTATGGAAAGGACTTGAGTGTACATGTTTATGGTTTGCTTAACTCAATGAACTTCCATATTATTTCACTTCAAATTGTCCTTCCTAATCATTAGTTTTTTTTGATTGGTATATCAGGTAATTTCACAGGGGTTTTATTTAGGAAATTTACAATTTACACGATTACAAATTACAGGATTTACAACAAAAAAAAAAAAAAAAAATGAGTAGCCTCCTCGACTGTAGTGGCCCCCTCGGGCTTTGGGGAGGTAATTAATAATAATAAAAAATTACAAATTACAAATTACAAGTCTAAACATTGCAAAAGGCTTTATTTAAGAAATCTTATTTTCATATTTATTTAGTTTATTTGTTTATGGTTGTGGATTGTGGTTGTTAAATAGCTTCTCTCTAGTATAATTGAGTTTAATCATGAATAAACAATTTTTGGGAGGCTGGGTTAGAGTGAAATAGAGTGAATAAATGAAATTTAGTTTTTAATTCAAAAAATATCTTTAACAAACAAGAATGTGATGTGATATCCACAAGATTTTTCAAGTAATTTGATCTAGAGCATTTATTGTATACATTATTGTAGTGGTTATACCTTTTTACCTAACTTTTAAAGCTGAAGAAGATAATTAGTTTAATTTCTTTAGCTTGAGAAAGTTTTTTTTTTCAAAAGCATGTAAAAATGTATTTATTGACATTCAAATGGTTTTTAAGAAAATCTTAACATGTCAACATTATTTTTATTTTACATAAAAGGTGTCTTTTGAATTAATTAATTTCAATTAAATTTTTATCTTAATGAATATGATATTTATTTAATTTATAATATTTATCTTATTAATTATTAACATTTATTTAAATAAATAATAAAATGCTTATTTAAGTTTTTTTAATTATTCAAATTAAATTTATATTTCTAAAATAATTTTTTTTATATCTATAAAATACAATTTTAATTTAAAAATAACAGCTTGTTGCATTTCAATAAAATATTAGTATTTTTTATAAGTTTTACAAACTATAATTTAAAATCTTCATGTGTTGCTATACTGAATTTAAAGTTTTATTGTGAAAATTTGAAGTTTTATTGTGCAACGGCATTAGAAGATTTCAAAATTAATTTTAGTTTTTACCTTGTAGTTTTTAATCAGATTAAAATATTATAAATAATATTTTAATCCTAATAACTAATTGCTATTGAAGGTTGCATTTTTTGGAAGAAAGTTTTGAATAAATATTGGGAAAATCTTAAGAAATAGAAATATTGCAAAATGTAACAGAAAGAAATATTGCAGAATGAAACAGGGTTCTGAAAAATGTGTCATACCAATTAAAAAGAGTTTTATCCTGAAAGTCTCAAGAAAGTTTTAGGTTTAGTAATTAATGAAAGAGTTAATCCAAGAGTTTTAAAGAAATCGTTACATACTTTACTTTATTACATAATATTTCCAGGATTAAATCTATTTTATTGAGCCCTGCAAGAAGAATATTAATTCAGTATATAAATATGAGTTTATTCAAAAGCCACTTTTGCATAAAAAGGAGGTTAAATTGGTGCATGGAACATAGAGACTTAACTAAGATAAATGAAATTATTTAAAGTAAAGCAAGTAATTTTGAAGTTATTAATTGTAAATCAATTAATATAGTCAAAAAAAAAACATTTTATAAAAGTAACCACTTTGCCCCATAGTATTCTTAGCTTACATGCAGAAATGTGCAAAATTATTCCCTTTAATAACTTACAGATCCTAAACCCCCAATATGCTAATATTGGGGGTTTAGGATCTGTAAGTTATTAAAGGGAAGGGGTTTGGGATCTTTGGGAAGTTGGACAAGTTGTTGACAAGGAAGACGAAGGAGGTAATAATCTCCACAAATTATTGACATAATTAATGGACAGCTCACTTTTATTGAGATTTAAAGTAAAATGTTTTTGAATTCTGTTTTTATCTTAATTACTTTATTTGGAATTTAAATCAAGCATTTGTTTTTTAAAAATATCTTGTTGAGTCATTAAAAGGTTTAAAATGATTAAAGTTGGAGTTAAAGAAATTTTTAATCTCTACCATCTAATTATCATAGTTGAGTTATGAAATTTTTATACAATCAATTGAGTTTTTAAGTGTTATTTATTACTATCTGTTTTATTGGTAATTAGATAACCATCTGGTGAAGGTTTATAAAATTGGAAGAGATAAAATTTTGTATTTAGCAAGTATATATCAAATATAAGTAGTTAATCAGTTATTAAAAACCTCAAATAATATTATATAAAAATATAATTATATTAACTTTTTCTAATATTAAAATAATTATCAAGTTTTTTAAATAACATACATAAATGTTTTCAATCCAAAAAAAAATGATAATAATATTTTCAAATATTTATTATTAAGGCTGCGCAACTATTCAAAAAAAAGTATGTTCTGCATTTGGTGGTATTGTTGCTCACAATATTTTTTATTATTTTCTTGTTTGGTATTTATTAAGATCAAGTGCGTTAGTTTTTTTCTTGTAACTTAAACATTAGCAGTTGTACACAAATGGTAATTCAGAGTATGTCATCCTGTTGTGAAAAATCTATCAGTAACTCTTTTATTATTAATCTTTAGTTTTGGTAATTAGCAGAAGAAGTAAAAAGTATAATTTTAACAGCTGAAGTTCTTTTTTGAAGAAATGTTAAAACATCTTTTTATTCATTTAATTTTTCTTGCTCAACGCCCTCGGTTTCACTCTTGTGTGGTTTTAATGGGTTCCTATGATGCTATTTATGCTATATATATGCCATGATGCCATTTTCTTATTTAAATATGAGATGGAAAAGTAGAGACTTTCAATCAGATTCCTTTTTAGCATTCGTCTGTTTTGCTGACCAATATAAGTATTTTTATTGTAATAACATCACTGGGTTAATTGCCAACCAAAGTTTACAAGCTTTTCTTACCCATACCCACTATTGTAGGTAAGTTGTCTTCTTGATTAAATAGCCTGCCCCAACATTGGACCAATATAGAATCAACATCAATATTAACATCTTTAACATCATTTATATTAAGTTAATGTTATCTTAAATCTTTAGCGTATGACTTGGCAAAAGAGCAGAAATTGAATTTTGGTGATGATATTGCTTCATCATTACGAGCTGCAAAGAAAAAGGTTGTTTTATGAATTTTTTTTTTTTTATTGCATTTCAAATTTTTTTTTAGTGTCTTTTCCATATTAAAAAGTGAAAAACAATAAAATTTTATGTCAATAGCGATGGTCGTTGTTAGAAGAAAAAAGAATTCAAGAAGAAATTGAGTTACAATCCTATTTGCAAAGACTAATACTTGAAGAAAAAGAAAGGTTAGCAAATTTATCTGTTTCGGCTAATTAATATACAAAAAGTTGGAATCCGTTATTATTTATCATCATCATTTGTTGAGTTTAATCTTAGATATGATCAAACTTAATGATATATTTTTAATTTGAATGGTATCTTTTTAATTTGAATGATAATAAATTTGATTCATCGGTTGGATGCCATTGTTATGATCTGAAAAAATAAAATTTTTTTTTTTTGGTAAGACTATCAATTTTAAATTTTATTTTTTGACTTTCTGCTTAGAAAACTTCAAACAGTTGTTGAAGGAAGTGAAAATGCCTCTCTGATTGAGGCTGACACTGTGAGATTTTTTTGAATCTATTTTTTATGACTAACAACATTAAAGTTTAATGTTGTGAAATCTTTTATATATTTTTTGAAATCTTAAATATTTTATCGTTACTTTGTTTTTCTAGAAAAAGCGTTTGTTAGAATTAAATAGTTTGTTTGCACAAGTAGATGAAAGAAGACAGGTATTTAGTTTTTTAAATCATATTTGTTTTATTAGAATTTCAAGCTTGTATTATCAGAATGTGGATGTCAAATATTTTTATTGAAGATTATATTAAAGTGGCCCCATGAAATTGTTTTTTATTGCTTTAGCTAATTTATTATTTAATGTTTATTTGATTTAATATCTTGGAATCAGGAAAAATAGGATTGACAAAAAAAAGCCAACCTAAAAATGTTTTTAAAACATCAGTAATAAGTTTTCTTACTTCTACTACTACCATTTTCTACTGAAGCTGCTACCTCTCTAAATGCTGATACCTAAATTGCTTTTTTATTTTCTAACAAATGTTGTTCAATACAACATTTTTTCTAATCTGTCTAAGATTATGCCTCCTTTTCTTATCTTGCTAGAGTCACACCACACATTCATCTGATCATTTTCTCTTACTGCAAATACTACACCGTATAAATACTAAAGTTTATATAACAATGAAAGGATATTGTATGGCGGCATCTAACTATTTAGATGCTATTTATTAGCTAAATAAATAGCAAACGTATATGTTTATATCCATAATATGTATGCATAAAGTGCATCTTGTAAACTTTTATTCTTTCTGAAATAAAAGTTTGGAAGCTTTTATTACTTCTTTTCAATTTTAAGTCAAACCTCATTCTACTCCACATTTTTCACCATCTTGAGCATTTGTTTTATTAAACATGAATCATTTTTTTAATCTTATTTACAAAAACATCTCTCTTAAGAACAAATGCCCTTTTATTATTGCAAGAAGCCAATGTAAAAAAGTTCTGTCTGATGTTAAGCTCTGTTCTTCTCATTTTACTAAATCTTATATCTTATCTCAAATGTTAGGTTCTAGAGACTTTCGGTTAGTCTTCAACAATGTTAAACATTTAATCTCTAATTCATGAGTCTAATGTTTTTACTTCTCCCCAGAATAAAGCAGAGTTGTTTGGAAAGAAATCTTACTCAAATTTGGGCCTTGAATATAATGGCCATACTCTTCCTGACAGTTAAACAGATTAAATCATTGTTAAACATGGAAATCACTCTGGCTTTCAATGCTATAGTTAATTCTCAATTAAACAATTCTACAGTTTGTGATAATGAAATTTAAAATGGCTTTATTTGCTCAACTGTATACTCTTGTCTTGACAAATAATCTTCACTTTTTGGTTGCATAGCCGATTTTAAACCTGATCTCTCTTCTGTAGCAGCCTAAAGCTTGCAATGGCTTATGAGTTTGAATTCTGGACTTTTCGGACAATTTTTGTTAGACAACATTACTCATTATTTACTGCAAAAAAATATTGCAATATTGTTGGCATTCCTATATTGACAAATAACAACCCTCTTGTTCTCAGAAAGTCTAAAAGCACATTGAAAATGTAGTTAGACCTGCTTTATCTGTCCAGCTTGAGCCACTCTCCCATTATTGTAAGGTTGCATTTCTTTCTTTTTTCTACATATACAATAAATGGTCAATGCTCAAACAAACTATCATCTCTATAAAGATAAACCAAAACTCATTCTTTCTTGGCTTTTAATTCAACAAGTTGTATCCTTTTACTGTATCTGTCCTTTCATACTAAAAAAACTTTTATTAGTGCAGTTTTTTTTCCTTGAACATAAAAAAAAACAATATAACTCATTTTTATGTTGTCCTCTTTTATACAACTTACAACTTTTTAAGTCTTCAGTTATACGTTTTAGTATAGTATTTTAACTTTTTCTCTACCTTAAAGTAACTCATAACTTTATAGTGGTTGCTTGCAATCTTGTTGGAAATAATTTAGAGTAAAAATGTATAAATGTATGTCAGTATTTAATATATAGTAAATGTAAGCATAAAATTATAATATATCTCATTTTTAGGTTTGAAAAAAGTCTCAATTTTAGCCAGGGCTAGGGCCCCGGTCACTTACTAGATACCAGGTATAATATTTAGAGACAGAACAATATTTAGAGACAGGGTTTGATAAAAGTACAAATGTAGGAATATTTAGCTTTAGTTTTACTGAAAAACAAAGCATTAAACGCTAAAGTTGTTAGGCGTTTTGTTTGGCGCAGGGATTTTTAGAGACAGCACAATATTTAGAGACAGGGTTTGATAAAAGTACAAATGTAGGAATATTTAGCTTTAGTTTTACTGAAAAACAAATCATTAAACGCTAAAGTTGTTAAGCGTTTTGTTTGGCGCAGGGAGGTCAAGAAAAGTTGATGTCAACAATGTTAATTTTTAGATAAACTAAATTACTTAAAAAATGAAAAAAAAGGATGATATTTTTGGTTTGGAATTATTTATTTTAGGAGGGAAAAGGGGGTAGGGTAGGTAATCAAATGCTGACATAATTTTAAATGGGAGTAGAGGGGGGTCAGGATCTGGAAGTTGTTAAAAGAAAGGGGTTTGGAATCTTTGGGAAGTTGGACAAGTTGTTTACAAGGAGGAAGAAGGAGGTAATAATCTCCACTAACTATTGACATAATTAATGGTCAGCCCACTTTTATTGAGAGCTTAAGTAAAATATTTTTTAATTCTGTTTTTATCTTAATTACTTCGAATTTACTTAATTATTTTACAGGGTTCCTACAGAGCTTGTTTTCCTGTTTTTTTCATTTTAGCCTGTTTTTAAGGCAATAGCCTGTTTTTTTTTTTTAAAAAAAACTGACTTTATATATAAAATGATAGATTTTATAGATTTAGGAGGTAATGAAATTTAAGTTGCATTTCTATATTCATATTGTTTTTTTTACAGACAAAAAAAACAATATGACACTTATGCCACATACCATTCTAATCACTTTCAGCAAATAATAACACCCTTCTTGAGACATTGTTGGAAGGTGTACTGCAGAAGACCCTTTTTAGTCAATTTTAAAATTTCCAATTCTTTTTTTGAAGGTTTGAAATTGTTGATTTCTGAGGATATTAATTTGGACCAATTAGCTATGGATTTGTACAGGTTTTTTTTATTTTCTGCAAAAAGAATTGAAGAATATTTTGCTGTGGAATCATTCAATAAGCTCCAAGGTCAACGGATGTTAAGATATGTCTCTACTTGTTTGATAAGCATTTAAGACATATTTGTGAGGGTAATGGAGCAGTTTGACAATTACAAAATATTAGGACAGAAACTTAAAAGAAAACAAAGTGCAGAGTTGGATATGAAAATTGGAAAGAAAAGAATACATATATATATATATATATACATATATATATATATATATATATATATATATATATATATATATATATATATATATATATATATATATATATATATATATATATATATATATATATATATATATATATATATATATATATATATATATATATTTATTTAAACAATTTTAAAAATGTATTCTACAAAAGAGAGTGCTCAATGTTCTTAAAAGAACAGAGCAATTATAAATTAGTAGAAAATCACTTAACAAAAATTTTTTTCATTTTATACTGTGTTTCATTAACAAAGACTCATAAGAAATGAATGATCAAATTAATAAAACTTCAATTTATGCCAAAAAATTAAATTACAGGAAGTTGCAAATGTTTTAACTACTGTAAATTTTCACACATTTGTGGAATTTGCTGACACTATTATAAAAAGAATTCTTTAGAAATGGTAATTTGTGCTTTTTTTTATAAAAATATTTTTTAAAAAGGGGGGATTTAATGTAACTATTATTTGAGCTCACTTATTTTTATAGTTTTTTAGGAGAAACTTATTTTTGTGCCTGCATTTAGAAATCAATTCCGATTTTTGTTTAACAAACATTCTTGGTTTGCATGTGTAATTATTTGAAATTTTTCTTGTAGACATAGTATGCATTTTTTGGAAATAATGTTGTATGCAGGCGCTGTTTTAAGGATGGACCAATTCAGTATAAAATCATCAATATTTTTATCTTTTAGTTCATATATATATTTTGACAGCATGGTGTCTTTTGAATTCTTTTTTCTTAAAACCAAATGTAAACACAGATGATATATTTAATAATAACCAAGATAATGATAATTATAAATTTAAAACAAAAAATACCCCACCTTTTATACCTGATTTGGAAAATTTTGAAAATGACCTATTGCATTTAATTAAAACAATAAAGTTTCGCCCTATAAAAAATAAATTTTAAACAGAATCAATGTTAGATGTTAAAAGAATTTAATCAAACCCAAATGTTTTGGTTTTTGCTGATAAAACAAATAACATTTACCAACTCACAACAGAAAACTATGAAAAAATTTTGCGCGACAATATTACTAGTTCTTATAAGAAAGCCCCTAAAAATTTGGAAAATGTAATTAATTTAGAAGCCCAAAGTATTGCTAAAAAAATAAACCTTGATAACAGAATCGAATATACTGCCCCTGCCCAAGCCTTTGTAACACTAAAAGACCATAAACCAAACTACCTTGTAGGTTATTGGTTTCCTCAAAAAGTGAGATTGGACATGTAAGCGAAATAAAATTTGAAAAAATTAATAATATTCTTAGAAATAAATTAAATTTGCAACAGTGGAAAAATATCACTGATGTTATAAATTGCTTCTCCATAATCAAAAATAAAGATGACTGTACATTTATTCAGTTTGACATTTATGATTTTTACCCTTCAATAACTGCAGATATTTTAAATAAAACAATCGAATTTGCAAAAAACCACACAGTTATTCCTGAAGAAACAATCCGTATAATAAAACATTGTAGAAAAACCTTACTTTACTTTAATAAGGAAACTTGGAAAAAGAAAAAAAAACATGACTGCTTTGATGTGACAATGGGCAGTTATGGCGGAGCAGAAATTTGTGAGTTTGTTGGACTATACATTTTAGATTTATTAAGTTAAATTATCAATATAAATGATTTAGGCCTTTATCGCGACGATGGTTTAATAGTAATGTGTAAAAAATCTGGTCCACAGCTCGATAAGATTCAAAAAAGATAAAAAAATTTTTTAAAATATTGGCTTTCAAATCGAAATAAACATAAATTTAAAAATTGTGAACTTTCTTGATGTCACATTTAACCTCTCTGAAAATTCATATAAGCCTTTCAAAAAACCAAACAATGAATTATTGTATATTAATATTAACTCAAATCATCCACCACAAGTTCTAAAACAAATTCCGATTTCAATTATTAACAGGTTAAACCAAAACTCCTCTAGTGAAAATGTATTTAATTCCTTCAAACAAATATTTGAAGATGCTCTTAAAAAAGTGGTTTTAAAAATTTTGAACTAAAATTTGACCCTGAAAAAAAGAATACAAAAAAACGGAATAGAACTAGAAATGTAATTTGGTTCAACCCCCCGTATAGCAGAAATGTTTCCACTGACATAGGAAGGGTGTTTTTAAAATTGTTTGATAAGCATTTCCCTCCCTCTAATAAATACCATAAAATTTTTAATCAAAATATAATTAAAGTTAGCTACAGTTGCACAAAAAATATGGAAAGAATTAAAAAAAGTCACAATAATGCTTTGTTAAATAATAAAGAAATCCTAAATGAAAAAACTACAGAAAATTGTAACTGTAAACAAAAAAGCAATTGTCCAATGAGTGGAATTTGTTTATCAAAAAATGTGGTATATAAATGTGTTGTTTCCTCTAAAAATGTACCCGATAAACAATATATTGGCATAACAGAGGGTGAATGGAAAAAACGTTTTGCCAATCATAAGCAATCTTTTAAAAATAAAAAGTTTTCAAAAGACACCATGCTGTCAAAATATATATAACTAAAAGATAAAAATATTGATGATTTTATACTGAATTGGTCCATCCTTAAAACAGCGCCTGCATACAACATTATTTCCATAAAATGCATACTATGTCTACAAGAAAAATTTTAAATAATTACACATGCAAACCAAGAATGTTTGTTAAACAAAAAATTGGAATTGATTTCTAAATGCAGGCACAAAAATAAGTTTCTCCTAAAAAACTATAAAAATAAGTGAGCTCAAATAATAGTTACATTAAATCCCCCCTTTAAAAAAATATTTTTATAAAAAAAAGCACAAGTTATCATTTCTAAAGAATTCTTTTTATAATAGTGTCAGCAAATTCCACAAATGTGTGAAAATTTACAGCAGTTAAAACATTTATATATATACATATATATATATATATATATATATATATATATATATATATATATATATATATATATATATATATATATATATATATATATATATATATATATATATATATATGTATATATGCATTTATATATATACAGTTTTACTGCTTATAAAATGTTTTTACTTGTTCAATTATCTTTTTTTTTTAAATATATTTTAAATTATGTCACAAAATAGCCTGTTTTTCTAAAAAAAATCCTGCTTTTTAGGCCTACACAATCCTGTTAATATTTTCAAATATTTATTATCTTTTATCATTTATATATCTTTAATCTTTATTAAACATATTTTAAATCAATAAATTTCATTATTTTTTACATATAGATAAGTAAATCAATAAGTTTACAATATTTTATTCAGAAACGAGATGTTCCTGATCAACTTTGTGGAAAAATAAGCTTTGAAATAATGAAGGATCCTGTAATAACACCTAGTGGAATAACGTATCTTTTATTTTTGATTTGTGGATTGTTATTTAGCTTTTAAATGTTTACTAATGATTTTTTTTGTTTTTTTGTTTTTTGTTTGTTTTGCTATTGTAGCAGTATATTCTTATTTCTATGAATTTAACAAGTTAATTTAATTGAAACAGTAATATACTGTTTTTGTTTAAAACAAGTTTTTACTTATGCATTGTTTATTTTTAAACAACCAAAGGCTCAGGTAGAAATGAGCTTTGTAACAGGTTGTGTAGAGTTTGAAATTGCTTTTTACAGCTTTTTTTATTAGTTTTTAATATTAAATATTTTATTTTAGACTAGTTAGATATTTTTATTTTTATTCCCTATTTCTACAAAATATAATAGTGCCCATATTACTAAAAAATCTATTCCCAATTATTAAAAATAATTCCTAAAATAATTCCTAAAATAATCCTAATTATTAAAAATAATTCCTAAAAAAATGTTCCTAATACTGCACAATGTAAATGTCCCTAGTTCTATAAAGTGTAAATGTCCTAATTTTGTAAAATAAAACTGATGAATAATGTAAGGAATGAAAGAAACCACACTTAAATTTTATTCTTCATATTATTACTTATATTAATTGTATTCCTAATTATGGAATAGTTTTGCAAGGTGCTTTTTGAACACTTTTAACATACTAAAAATATATGTAACAAGTAAATTTAATAAATTAAAAAAAAAAAAAAGAGACGAATCATTAAAGCCAATACCAAGGAGTTATTAAAGCCAAAGACCAATAATATCACTCTAATAATATACTCAGAATACTCTAAATTATATAGCTTAAAAAGCTATTTATTTAGCAAAAAAAATACCATTGGTATTTACCAATGAGCTAATCACCACTTAGTGGTGATTAGCTCAGAACTTTTAAACAACATTGGCTTTGTTTTTGGCAATATTGGTTTTGTTTTTAAAGCAAGATTGGTTTTGTTTTTAAACAGCATTAAGCCTGAATAAATGAATCTATTATAGAAGACTATTCAATATTTTTTGGGATAAACAAGTTTTTTTAAATAATTTTTTTTGTAAAACTTTGGATTGGTATTAATGTGGTGTTACCAACATTTTGATAGCTTGATGTTGATACCGAGATATTATATTTTATTTGTGCAACTAAAAAAAAGATACTCAAGATTTAATTCTGAAATGATTTTACAATGAAAGAAAAGTAAAAATATTAACTTTAAGCATTATCTGTCATATATAATCTAATAAATCTAATGAATATTTTTTCTGTTTTTAAGAGTTTGGGTTATAGAATAGAAAATAATAATATAAAGCAAAAATAATAATAAATGAGAAAACTCCACTTCTGCTTATTATATATTAAAAAAAAATTTATTATAAGAAAGTTGTATTGACTTACCTTTTAACCTTAATTTAAAGAAAGATATGACAGAAAAGATATAGAAGAACATTTGCAGGTTTGTTTTCTTTATTTACTATATATATCTTACTATGTTATACTATATTATATTATACTATATTATACTTTATTATATTATACTATATTATCACGGTTAGCACAGATCCTTATAATGCCTACCTAGCTGTCCCAAGAACGCCACTTATACGGAAAGTTAGCCTACACATCAAGGTACCCTGTGATGCAAATTTTGAAATCATTTAATTTTGTCCGCGGAAAATAATTTAATTTGAATGTTCAAATTAAGTCAAATTTTGACTTCATAGTGCGCCAATAAAAACACTTGTAGAATTTGAACCACTCAATATAATTTGATAAAAATTGGTGCAAATGTAGCCAATAGTCACACCAATCTCAGGATAAAATTTCAGCCTGATTGGATGACTGGTGTAGGATTTGTTGCAGTTTTAGTTGAAGTTTTGTCAGTTTTTTGTTACTTATACCTCATAAGCGTTACCGATTACTAAGAAAATTCGGTCACTATTTTTAAAATAACGGTTACATGAGTGTTCTACTATGTAATACCAACAATTTTTGTTATAATTATTTTATCGGTACTTGTACATTTTTCATTTTATAGACCAAAATAGTGATTTGCTACTTAAAGCGTGATTTGAATTGGCTTATGCCAATGGCGTTGACACGGCCTTCAAAGTGGAGGGAGTCAACCCCTCAATTTCTAAGATAAAATCCATAATTTCTAAAATAAATGCCTATATTTCTAAAACAAAAGGTCCTCGCAAAAAAAAAGTGGGCAGGCCATGGCTCTCTTGACGGCCATGTATGCATAGCATAAATATACCAACATTTCCTAAGGTATAAACTACTGCCAGAATGCAAAAAAATTCTAAAAAAATGGTTAAGAAGGATTTCTAGGGATACCTACAATATAATTAATATAATTATAAATAAAAATTAGTTATTTATCTGAAAACAAAACAACTGTGAAAAAAACCAAATATTTTTTATATTGAAAAAGATAATTGACTTAAAAAATTTAGATAAGTTAACTAAGATATCTGACCAATACAAAGTTTGGAGGGCCAGTCAGAGGAAAATTACTATAACTGAATAAATAATTAGGTTGAAGGGTTGTTTTGAAATAAAACAACCTGTGTAACAAGTATCATTATTTTAATAAGTGTGACAATTATCAATTATTTAGTTTCCTTACAAGTAAATAGTTTAAACAATTGTTTTCTGGTAAGGAAAGAACTATTCAAGAATTATTTCCTTGTAATTTAATATTTCCTCAATTAAATCAAGTAAATATTTTCTTTATTTTAATAGTTTTTAATTAATAATAAGTGTTACTATGTTAATTGGATTGTTATCAAATATAAATTTAGATCAAATTTTGTATAAGGTAGAGTTTGATTTAGTGAAGTCAATTTAGTCAATTGCCACGATGCCAAATCAAGCAAAGAATTATGATGAAAATCGAAAGTTTGTGTGTTTGTTCTGTCTGAAAAAATATTTAAGACAGCTTACTACTTTTCAAGCAGATCGAATATGCCAACTGTACAAGACCAAGATCGATATCAGTGATACTCGAGTACTTTGCGCAGGAAACAAAAGGGGAAAGAAGTTGCACTCCCTCCTTTGTTTGATTTTAAGTCAATACAAGTGAGACCTGAAACAAGAGGCAAGATGTGTTGTTGCCTAATATGCCCAATTGGTCGTTCAAAGCTGCAAGAAAAACATCCTCTTATAGAGCAAACCACTATTGAGAAAAAACCAAAGGTGCGTTGCAGCAAATGCCTCAGCCCTTTAGGAAAAGGTTTGCCCCACCAATGCTCCCAAATAATGTTAAGAGAAAACATTCAATCTTTAGCAGCAAAAGATGCCAAATCATCCGAACAAATCGCATCGCAAGTTATTTCCAATAAAGAATTTTCTCTGGAAGCAACTATTCTACTGGCTAAAGTATCCGGCGGGCCTCCACTTACAGTTACCCCTGGTAAATATTTATAATTAAATAATTTTAACATATATATTGAAATAAAGTTTTGACTATTAAGAAATAACACTAGATAGATTTCAAGAAGTATATTTTTGGCAAGTTTCTAATTTCTTTAAAAACGAATAATGTAAAAGTTTTACATAAACTTACTAAACAAAATTTATTGTAACTATAAAATATGTATGTTTTGGTTTTAGGTCAAAGTAGTGCGCTGACACCATCAAGTGCTCCAAAATTGACCGCTGTAGCCCTTGTAAATGTGCAATTAAATATGGGCCTGTCAAACCTGTCAAACTCATTCAAGTACGCATACTTGCACCTGGTGTGACGATAAATCCAATTGTCTTGCCAAATCTGGAAACTTGTGAACACTGGGCTCAATTAATTCAAGCCTTGAGTCTTTTCTTGAGTCTTTTATGCAAAGCTGTTTGGTAATGTCATTCGAAAGCCAATCATCTGCGGGCTCTGTCAATGATTTTGGAAATCATTCCACCGATGGAATTGCATCTCCTCTTAGGAGTTGTCAAACATCTTTTCAAGATCCTTAAAACTGCTTGGATAGAAGCTGTTAAGTGGCCAGCTGCCCTCCGCATTTAACTGAGCCCGTATCATGGGGGCCAGCTTGAGGGAAATGAATGCAGGAAGCTTCTTAAAAATGTGGATATGCTGCAGCAACTTGCTGAGACAAACATGGTTCCCAATATTGTGTGCATAATTGAAGCATTCAAAAGCTTCAATTTAGTTGTCAAGGCTTGCTTTGGATACATCCTTCAGCCGGATTTCGCTGAAAAAATTGAAAATTTGAACAAGTGTTACCTAATGACAATTGGTGCGAGCGTAACACCCAAAATTCACGCCGTCTTCTACCACATCAAGGATTTCATCATATGAAATCCTATATAGTGAATATATAGTGAACAAACTGTCGAAACTTCTCATCAAGATTTTTATCAACATTGGTCGAGGTATAAGCAAAATAATAATCATCCAGAGTACAAAGAAAGATTTTTCTAAACAGTAAGCATCTTTAAAGGACATCATTTGAGTTATTAGAAATTAGGCTGCTGAAATTCATATTTTACAGCGTATAATGAATATTTTCACCATCTATAAAAGTAGTATTATAGAGTCTTTGTATTAAAAGAGTACATTGAGCTATTTATTAATAATCTTTTGGTGGAGAAAATCAAAAAAACATTTTTTAAAATGTAATTAGATATTTGATGGTAGTACAATATAAATAATAGGGTTTAAGTAATTTTCACTTCATTTTAAAAGTAAATGTATTTAAGAAGGTCAATACAAAATATATTAGGAAATCTTCTTTTTTCTTTGTTTTACTAACTGGTAGTCATTTGACCAGGTTTTGCACTTTTTTTTAGCTTTTTTTTTTTGCAGCAGTTTATACCTTAGGAAATGTTGGTATATTCAAGCGAAGCATACATGGCTGTCAACGCCAGGGAGGCTAGATGGTCATGTCCTTACTTTTTTTTTGCGAGGACCTTTTGTTTTAGAAATTTAGGCAATTATTTTAGAAATCATGGATTTTATTTTAGAAATTGAGGGGTTAACCCCCTCCACTTTAAAGGCCATGTCGACACTATTAGCATAAGAATATTTAAATCACGCTTTAAGTAGAAAATATTTTGGTCAATTATTTTACAAAATATTTAACTATTTTGGTCTATAAAATGAAAACTGTACAAGTACCAATAAAATAATTATAACAAAAATTGTTGGTATTACATAGTAGAACACTCATGTAACTGTTATTCAAAAAATAGTGACCAAATTTCTAAGTAATTGGTAACGCTTTGAGGTATAACTAGCAAAAAACTGACAAAACTTCAACTAAAACTGAAATAAATCCTACACCAGTCATCCAATCAGGCTGAAATTTTGTCCTGAGATTGGTGTGACTATTGGCTACATTTGCATCAATTTTTATCAAATTATATTGAGTGCTTCAATTTCTACAAGTGTTTTTATTGGCGCACTATGAAGTCAAATTTTGACTTAATTTGAACATTCAAATTAAATTATTTTCCGCGGACAAAATTAAATGATTTCAGAATTCGCATCACAGGGTACCTTGGTGTGTACGCTAACTTTCCCTATAAGTGGCGTTCTTAGGACAGCTAGATAGGCATTATAAGGATCCATGCTAACCGTGTTATACTATATTACTATATTATACTATATTACTATATTATACTATATTACTATATGATACTATATTACTGTATTATACTATATTATACTATAATATAGTAATTCTGTATATATATATTAATATAATATTGTATTATAATACTATATAAATACAGAATTTATTTATTCTAATTTTTATAAATTTTATAAAATCAAAATATAGTATTTGAATATTTTGGTTATTTTAATTATAAATTGGTTACTGGATATCTTGTGTCACCTACTGTGATCTACAGTGGGCCAGTAGGTGGGTGATCCACAGTGGGCCAGTAGGTGGACAAAATAAGAAATATTTTAGTTTTCTAATCTTTAAAACACATTTAGTTTTAGTTTCTACAATTAAAAGAAATTGATTCATATTTCATTTATATGAAATCCCTTAGTTACTAGAGTGCTGAGCATTTCATTATTTAATATTTAAAAAAAAAATTAAAAATAATTTTAGTTAGATTAAGGTTGTGTGATGTTTCAATTAAATATGTGTATTCAAAACACCAAATTGGTACATTTTGTTTTAGATTATTCAGAGATAAGAAAAAACATTTTGTTGCATAAGTTTATCATAGCATGTTATCTCAAAATACTTTGAACATCACAAATTAAAAAAAAATCTTCAAGAAAATATTTTTTTACTGTACTAATAATTGGCACATTTGCCATGGGCTGTATAATATTTATTTGAGTTATTTGATGCTTTAATTGAGTTTCCATTGATTGCTTGTTATTGATTGAATGGTGATTTTATATATGTGTTTAAATTTAGTTGTTTTGATACCTAATTTTGCATAGCAACAACCTATTTTTACATCAACCTATTTTTACAACTAACTTATCCCAATCTCATTCATTGTGTGGTGTATAAAATATGAATAGTCTTGATATTTTTAATAACAGATTTTTTTGAACACAGATTATACTTTTTTGAATACAGATTATACTTACAAAGAATTTAATGCATGAATCCATATTTTTAAGATGGTTTTGCAGCAACAATGGCAATAGCTGTTTGTTTATATGTCTGCTTTTGGAGTATATGAACAAACAGCTTAAGTTCTGGGTATTAGCCATAAGATTTATTAGTGTTGTCTAGGTGAAATTTGCCGAGAAATTTACTGTTAAATTTTGAAAAAGTACCGCCTTTTAAATTTAGGATGATGTTAATTGTTGAATATAACTTATGGATGACTTAGAGCTTAACCAGCATGTACAATGAATATGTTGAGGTATTGGAACGCAAAGTTTAAAAATTTTCAACAAAAGCAGCTCCGCCAAACAAAATGAAAGTAATTGTAGCCCAGTGCAATTTAAAATTTTAGGTTTATATTAAAATATGCAAAGGAATACTACATAAATCATTATTTAATACGAACAATTTTTACTCAATTTTGTTGTATAAACTAAGTATGGCGCTTAACCATTCATGTGATATTCAAAAAGCTTCATTTTATCATATGTATTATATTTATTTAAATACATACTTTGTGAAATGTACGTATAAAATAGCGTAGAAATCGTGAAATGTACGCATAAAATAGCGTTTAAATCGTGAAATGTACGTATAAAATAGCGTATAAATTGTAGAATAAACATTTAAAACTAAAACTTTTTCAACTTTTTCAAATGCAACATGAAAATTTGGTTTTAAAAAGGTGCAAAAAAGTCTCCATTAAAATAATATTGGGATAATATGGCAGGACTGCAGTTAAACTGGCGCGACCAATACACTGCATGGGTGTCAATGAGTGTAAATTGTAAATAAAAAATATGAGTGTAATGTATGTGATGAGTGTAAATTGTAAATAAAAAAATATTTTAGCCTTAAATAAAAAAAGCCCTATTACTTTTGATTGTTGCTTATTTTTTGATCCCCAGTAAATCCAATAAGGTCTCATATGCATATCTTGCAAATTTTTTTGCCTTTAGTTTTTTTATAAACGCTATTCAATGAAGAATATTATTTTGGACATCCACGCCAAATATATGAAGTAGACATCAGATCCGTCCCAAAGACATTCTCAAAGAGGGATAACGTATCTGTTTTTTGACGACTAACGACTTAAAAAAAAAGTTTATTGTTTACCGATAATTGCCAACTACCGCCAAAGGTCTACCTGCTAACTAACTTTAAAATAAACTTTTCGTAAAGCGGTTAGACACCACACTATTCCGGCACTGGAAGGCATTGTATTGTTTGCATTTTTTGTTTTCAGTGGAATATCGATAGTCATATTTTTATAATGATGTATTGAATTTAAGGTAAATACAGCTCTTTGGTTGAAATCTAGGTTCCATACCACGTTTCTATGCCCAAGAAACGGGGTATGGAACCAGATAGATATGCTCAAGTTGATTTGGACAACGCCCAAGTACTCAAAGCAAGCAATCTATATCTAGTTGAAGTCGTGGAAGCAACTCAATCATACCAAATTACATGAATGCTTTCCTAAACCTTTCTGAATTTTTTTTTTCAAACGAAAATTTACTCTTTCAGATTTAAAATTTATCGGTAAATATAGCCCTATTATTAAATTAGTTATGAATTTTGTCCAGTAAAAGTGAATTCTGGACCACTGTGTGGTTAACAATTGTTAGGTAATTATTTATCAAAAGTAATATTAATGATAATAACTTTAATAAAATTAATAAAAAGTTTTGTTATTAAATTCCTTATAACAAACAGAACCTTTACTGTGTATACTGTGGTATATACTGTATACTGTGGTATATGTGTATACTGTGGTATATTTTATTTATACAATAATGTAAATTTTCTTACTTATACACGCAAGTTATTTTATTGATTAAAAACTTTTTAAAAATCTTTTTAAATATTATATACTTGTTATATATTACAGCGTGTTGGCCATTTCGACCCTGTCACACGAGCGCCATTAAACGTCAATCAGCTTATACCAAATCTTGCAATGAAAGAAGTTGTCGAAGAATTTCTAGAAAAAAACGAATGGGCAGAATATTATTAAACAAAGTAATAATTTGCACGCAGAGATTGAAAATTAGTGAGAAGATTTGTAATCAGCGGTTATTTATCACGGTCTGATAGCTAGTTTGGTTTTAATTAGCTTTAACAAAACAGTAATAATTAAAACCTTGACAATAACATAGAACAGTCACATTTTCTCTTTAAAGGGAATAATTGGTATTTATTTTGGTTCTTAAAGTCTTTTTGTGTTTTTATGTTTCATATTGATTATGTTTTTTTTTTTTTTTTTTTTTTTTTTTTTTTTTTTGATTATTTAATTTTCCATCAAAGTATAATCAGTATAATAATTGCAATTTTTCATTATGACGTACTTATGACGTACTGGTTTTTTGTAATGAAATTAGAATATACTGGTTTTTTGTAATAAAAGCTACTTTGTGTATAAAGTTGAACAATACAATCACTTGAACATTTCTACAATTTGTTATGCAAACTTTAAGCAACTACCTTGTTGATATTTTATATATGCAAGAAAAATTTATATATAATTCTTTTTCTAACTTGTTTCCTTTGTTTCATCTTTTTATTATTTTTCCTTTTAAAAGGACTGTTTGAAAAAAAGCCCCCTCCTTGCAGTGACGGGTCCAGCATTTCTTGGTGTTTGAGATAATTTCCATTATGACATGGAGTAAACTCCAAACATTTGTATATTTATACTCATGTCAAACAATGATATTTTGCGAAAAATTGCGATATTGGAGGCTGGGAACAAAAAAGCACTAAATTTCCTCTCCGAACGTGAGAGCAACAAGTTTATAAAATATTTTTTGTATTATTTGACTTATATTCATCAATAAATTTTAAGTTTCAAAGTATTATCTCTCAACGTTCAAAAATTATGACCATATAAAGTTCAAAGTCCCCTCAATTTGAGGAGTTACTGGATCCGTCACTGCCTCCTTGGTTTTTGAAAATGATCTTTTACCTATGTTTATCTATTATTTGTTTATCTATGTTTTTAACACAGCATGTTTAAAAAGTTGGAAGAAAATTAAGTTAACTCGGCAAGTTGTTTAAAAATTAAGATACCAGATAATAAATAATAAGACAGTTTAAGATGATTAAAAAAAACCCGGATTTAAACTTTAAATCACCGTCTAAAATATCTTAGATCACGTCTATTATCTTAGATCCTATAAAACGATCATCTGATTTTAAAGCATTTATATATATATATATATATATATATATATATATATATATATATATATATATATATATATATATATATATATATATATATATATATATATATATATATATATATATATATATATACTCATATAGTGTCTCTTTAAGAGCATTTTAATGTAAAAAAAGTCTCTTACGACTACAATTTTAATTACTCGTCTCTTAAGCTGTTTTTGATTGTCGTCGAAATGTCAAAGCAATTAATTTATGCGGAAGTACATTAAATTTAATTGTTTTTTAACAAATTTTTAAAAAACCGCAATTATAACGACTAGAAAGTTTTTTTTAATTAGTGGTGTTTTTGTTATTGATTTAATAAAAAACATTTTTTAAACATGCGTAAATGTTGCTACATCGACTATCTTATAGCTTGACTCGCAACGGAGTGCTGCTACATCGACTGACAAATAGCCTGACTCGCAACGGAGTGCTGCTACATCGACTGACAAATAGCCTGACTCGCAACGGAGTGCTGCTACATCGACTGACAAATAGCCTGACTCGCAAGGGAATGCTGCTACATCGACTGACAAATAGCCTGACTCGCAAGGGAGTGCTGCTACAACGACTGACAAATAGCCTGACTCGCAAGAGAGTGCTGCTACATCGACTGAGGGTTTGGTTTGGCCAGGCAGTCTATCAATTAAAAAAAAAAATTTAATTTTTAAAACTTTTTCTGGTCTGGTTTATTAACGCGCTCTTTAAAACTACAGTTTATGGGAAATATTTTTTGATGCTACGCAAGAGACATGCAAGACTATATATATATATATATATATATATATATATATAAAATAATAATAATAATAAATATTAGGAATGCGCCGAACCCGAACACCAAATCCGAATGTTCGGCCATGATATTCTGCCGAACTCCGAACGGTTTGACTAGTTACCGTTTCTATTGTTTTGCCGTTTTATATTGAAATTCGTATCAACGACATGAACGTGCACAGAAAGATAAACAAAACTTAACATTACTTTCTTTAAGAGTTTGAACTGAAGACTGGTTTAAGGATTTAGTTTAAATAGTTTTTGAAAATTTTTTATATAAATTATTTTTCAAATTTGTTAAGAAAAGATTATTTAGTTTTAAAAATCTATTTTAAATAGCTGAAGTAGTTATTAAATTATAATAAATAAGATAATATATATATATATATATATATATATATATATATATATATATATATATATATATATATATATATATATATATATATATATATATATATATATATATATATATATATATATATATATATATATATATATACATACATATATATATATATATATATATATATATATATATATATATATATATATATATATATATATATATATATGTATATATATATATATATATATATATATATATATATATATATATATATATATATATATATATATATGTATAATGATGATGATCTTGATATAACCAAGGAGATAAAGGGTCTTTACACACATAAATTAGACGCTTTCATTTATGCTCTACCAGAGTAAATGTTAAATTTTTTAAACCATATTGCATTTGTTCATATGGTGCTCTTCTGTGGCAAAATTATAATGATAAAACAATGACACGTCTTCAGTATTGCTACAACAAATGTGGTAAAATGTTTTTTTTGGCTACAACAAGTATGATAGTATATCTCTCATGCTTTTAGAGCACATAGTACCATCTTTTCATATAATTATCTCAAACTACAGACATGCTTTTTATAAACAGTCGATAGGTTGTTCCTTAGTGAATAATTCCATGTGTTCACTTAATCAAAGTTAAAAAATAATATTTTTCTTGTAAAAAGTTTGGACCTGGCACCTAAATTGTATCTGCCTGTTGTCTGAAATATATTTATAATAATAATAATAATAATAATAATAATAATAATAATAATAATAATATATATATATATATATATATATATATATATATATATATATATATATATATATATATATATAATATACTTATAAACAAATTGCATTAGCTGAAAATTAAAGAAAGAATCTATTTTAAGGTTCTTCTAATAATACACAAATATATTATTCTGGAAGCATTAAGTCATTATGCTATTTAATTCATTACTGAATGTCAGAAAGACTACTAAAACTATAGGAAACAAAATGTAGCAATCCTTTAGGTTATTAGGCATTATCACACTATGGTCTTAAACTTTGTGATGTACTTCCATATATCGTTCGTGACAAAAAACACAACTATTTATAAGAAAAAACTGAAATCTTATTTAATGATTAATGGTGAATTATTCCACCAGAAAACTTTTGAATGTTAAATTAAAATCTCTCGGGCATTAATATTAAAAGTTTTACTAATATAATAATTAGTTGCACAGCTGAACAAGTGTTTTGCCAAATTTATCCACTATTTTGACAAAACACAGTAGCTGTGGGTAAATATATGTATTTTTTTTTTAGTATACATATGTATATATATATATATATATATATATATATATATATATATATATATATATATATATATATATATATATATATATATATATATATATATAATAAGTTATATAATTATTATTACTTTTTTTCCAGATGTTTGCAAAATCATTTATTGTGTTGTGTCAATAGATCAAAAATCAATACTAATGTTGATTGATTTTTTGTTCTTTGACACAAAAACTTGAAATTTGGTAGAAATATTTTGTTCTTTGACATTCTGGGAAAGCAAATATTTTTTTACTGATTGGATTTTACTATTCATGACTAATAAGAAGCAGTTTTTATTAACGGTGAGTAAATTTTTCAAGTTATTTTTACTTTTTGTTGCGTATAAGGGTAATTCCATGTCAATTGAGCCAGAAAATTTCAAAAATGTCACCATACATCTCAGATTTTGCTAATTTTTATACAGTTGAGAGTACTTAGTAAAACAAAAAATCCTTGAAAATTTTAGCTTCTAGCTCCAAGAGGATCATGAAATATGATCATTTTACTTTTAACTGATCTTGGCCAGGCCCCTCTTGTCCCTTCAGAAGTGTGACCTTTGTTTAAAGGTTCCAAGTCACATAGCTTTAAAAATATTTGATCTTTTAACTTAAAAATTTGTACCTGGCTATTTTCAGGGTCAAAGAATCCAATGAAATAATCAGAAATGTAAAAAAAAAATTTTTAAGTACTTGTAATTATCAATTTAAATAAATTTATGCAATTTTTTATATACCTGATTTTGATGCTCAAGAAAGCCATGTGGCCTTGATAATATAAAAAAAAAAAATTGTACACATTCTATGTTTAATGATCTTTCAGAAAACATAAAAATTTTGATCTGCAAGTATATGGATTTCCATATATGGTTAACGGGGCACAGGCCCCACTATTTTGTAGCAGAATCTTGCCATACATTTTTCACTACCTTTCAGACTAGCTGGAACGATGAAAATTTTTGTATTTATGTAGTGTCAATAAATGTGCATTTTAAAATTAAAAAAGGGCCCAAGACACTAGGGGAGGGGGCTGGGGGGATGTGCCCCACTTTTTTGACCGGAATCTTGAGATGGATTTTTCAGTATCTTCCAGACTAGTTGGAGCTTTGAAACTTTCAGCATTTGTGTAGTCCTGATGAACATGCTTTAAAATAGTTTCAGGTCAGATGACCAGAAGGTCCATGGGGCTGGGGCACTGGGGACCATGCCCCGCTTATTTAAAAAAAATTTTTTTTTTTTTTTTTGTCTTAAATTCAAGATAACTTTGAAAATATTGTATTTAAATATTTTATTGCTTTATGCTTGTTCCATTTTACTTCATTATTTACAAAATAAAATACAAAAAAAAGAAATTGTCAAGATAATGCTAAGATTAGCTTAGATGCATTGACAGTCAAAGTATACAAACGTCCATTTGTTGTTACAGGTGCATCAATTATACTTGGTAATTGGAACCCAACACTCATCTACTCTAGATGGCCAGAAAAGTTTATTAAAAGGACCGTGCGGGTGCATAAATGTTACCATAACATCTATATTATCAACTTCATTGATCATACCAATCCAATCAAACGCATCATATTTACACATAATAAATTCACTAAATTTCAAGGCATCAATGTTAATTTGCTGATCATTTTGAGAACTTTGAATACCAGAAAAAGAAAAAATGCCTGTTATATGAACATCTTCACTTGTTTGTTTAAAGCTAGTAGTATCTATAGATTCTGGTTTAAATTGATGATAGCTCCTAGTTCCAGGTATTGTTCTACTTAGCTGAAAACGTGTTTTCAAAGTGGTGCGCAATTCTGTCAGTCTTTCTTTTTCAATCTTGAAAAAAATAA